AACCATAGGGTGGTGTGAGCCTTAGTGTTGACAAAGGGACTCTTTAGTAGTCTTTAGCAACTAAGCATTTATACTATACTTATTACACCAATTACCTAAACTATACTTATTACACCAATTACCTAAACCCACCAAAGTATACCCACAGAAATAAATAACTATTGCTGCATTAAGCACGTTACTTAGCCGAAATACTATTAGCGTAGTTTATCACCTTTTTATGGGCTATTAAGTAACTGCCGGAGCCACACCGTGACGGATGTTAAGTTGGATAACTTATAGTTTTATTGTGGTTTTATGATTCAGTGAGCTTCGTATTTTAATTGTGGGTTTGTGAAGCTGGATCTGTTGAACGTGTTTTAAAATATAGAAATTAAAGTTTCTTCCACCACTTCACACATACACAAAAAGGCGAAGGGATTTCGGAATCACAACTTTGTCTAGTAGAGCATCAGATCAAAAATTTAGTTACTTAGATTGTCGCATAAAACTGGCTTCCAATCAACGTGGAATTCCTTTGAAGGCTGTTACCAAAAGTCATAAGAGAATATGTTCGAACAAAAGTAAAGTCAGATTCACCTTAAGGTCACTGTAAATACTGTAACTAGTTGTGATAAAGGTCATTTTGGAACAAAAAATGCGTAGTCCGATGTAGTGTGGTCTATACATACTTGTATGTAAGTAATTAGGTAGGTACTTCAATTTGTTCTAAAAATTGTTCCAATTGAATTTAACGTAGCTGCACGAAATGTATTTTCAGAGTCCTAAAATAAAATGGTAGAGTTCCCACTAACTTATTTAAACTGCTATTGCGCTAGCCTAGTCCAATTGTAATTAAAAACTGCCTATTTTAATATTTTAACGTCATTTTTTAACCCAGTACAAAAATACCAACGTATGTTTTTGTTCTATCAAACCGAATTTGATTAATTTGCGTCCGCTTAAAAAAGATTGTATTTTCGTTTTACAATTTTGAACCTAACCCACTTTATTTCTAAAGCCCTTTTCATTTGCAATATTATCTTAATTAAAGTAAGCCGTAAACTCGTAGTTCGTAGCAGAATGTACTACGCCGTAGACGGTTAATTGTTCTTACATTACTGAGTTTCATTGACACAGTTAATAATATATTATTATGTCATAATCCGTTTGATATCCTGGGGGCGAAGTGTGAGTTTTTTTTACGTCAAACGCATTCGATATCACCCGATATCGGGTTAGTAGTAGTTTCGCACGATTTTCCTTCGCACGAATGTGCGAAACGTCCCCTTAAATAATGTTTTTTTTTAGTAGGCGTTTCGCCCGGATGTATTAAAAGTATTAAAATCGCGTGCGAATCGACTCTTTTTTGAACTAGTTTTCAACTAGTAGTATGCGATTACTAGTTCTCAAAGGGGTCAATTCGCACCCGTTTTTAATACTTTTGATAAATCCGGGCGAAACGCCTACTAAAAAAAAAATATTGAAAGGGGACGGTTCGCACATTCGTGCGAAGGAAAATCGTGCGAAACTACTACAAACCCTCGATATCGACTGCGTAAAAAAGTGACTTTAAGCCGAGGCGCAGACCACCGATTTTTATTCGGCCGATAGTTGGACCCGATTCTAATTTGTATGAAGAATCATTCGGCTGTTTTTCGTTCGAAGTGGCATACGGACTACAATAAATCAAGGTAGACACTGTGACATTTTGTTTGACCTAGTTCGAGGTAGGAGTTATAATCATAGCAATACCAAAAATCAGACTCATCATCATAATCATCATTTCAGCCATAGGACGTCCACTGCTGAACATAGGCCTCCCCCAATGCTTTCCATGTTGATCGATTGGTAGCGGCCTGCGTCCAGCGCTTCCCTGGTACCTTTATGATGTCGTCGGTCCACCTTGACTAAAGATTTAGTCTTTCTGACTGTCCGATTTTCAACAATCAATCACTGCGTATTTCAGTGGTGTAATTACTATCAGGTAAGTAGGTAAATAACCTACCTATTCTACGCATGCCCTTTATTATTTATATAGACTATTATTAGATACTAGCGGCCGCCCGCGACTTCCGTTTTACCCCCTTCATCTATCTTACGCGGTTTAAATTTTTTCATACAAATCATTTTTCCCGCTAAGTCCCGTTCTCGTGGGAATTTTGCAATATCCTATTGTAACTAAGCTTTAAGTTTACTAAGGTACCTGCATTTCAAATTCCTAAGTATACAATAACCTGCCCAGGAGTATGAAGAATAATTGTACCAAGTTTCGTTAAAATCCGTCGAGTAGTTTTTGTTTCTATATGGAACATACAGACAGACAGACAAAAAATTTATTGATTGTATTTTTGGCATCAGTATCGATCGATCACTAATAACCCCCTGATAGTTATTTTGAAAATATATTTCATGTACAGAATTGACCTCTCTACAGATTTATTATAAGTATAGATAGGCCATTAGTAAAAAAGCTCTTGATTGACATTCCAATAATCTCACCCAGGTCAGGTCACAGGTTAAAAATAAGACTAATTAAAGCTCGCTCACTACAACAGTGTGCGACACACAACAGAGGCTTAATTACTTGTATCGTTTAATACGAGCTCGTTTATATTTCAAATGGATACGTTGTAATAACGATGCGATGTGATGGCACGCACACAGTGGTAAGGATTCACGTTCGGATGATTAGGGTGCGATACTTTTGTTATTTTGATTAGTTTTACAATTTTTTCGAAACTTTACAACAGGGATGTTATGGATATCCGTAACCGTAACCGAAACTATCGGATATCCGAAATAAAAAAATATTTGTAACCGTATCCATAACCGAAACTTCATATCCATAACATCCCTGCTTTACAGGTTGTGTCAAATGCAACATGATTATCGTATACGGGCCTCTCTTTCCCACCGCTGCAATTCCTGTGTAGCCCGGATCTACAACTTGACCGCATGACAGGAGACAAAACAAAGGTTAGATTATCGTATGAAGTGCTCTGTAAATTAGTTTGTTTGTTTCAGCCAAATGACGTCCACTGGACAAAGGCCTCCCCCAAGGACTTCCACAACGACTAGTCCTGCGCTGCCCGCATCCAAGCACGCGACTATCACTAGATCGTTGGTCACCTAGTGGGGGGTCTGCCCACACCTACGTCTTCCGGTCCGTGGTCGGTGTAAGTAATTTAAAATACCTACTTAAACAAGTAAATATCATGAAAACTCATTTTGCTGGTACGATATTTGAAACTGATTGAAAGACCAGTGTCTGAAACTACCTACTTTTTAGACTTTTAGTAGCCAAGAGTAAAGGTTTTAAGTTTTCAGTAGGCAGTTACCTAATTTTTTTTTAACTTCGCTTACTTACTGTACCAAAAATATATGTATAGTGTAAGTTAATTAAAATAAATAGATCGAAACTAATACGTTGTTTTTTAAAATGACGTCGGCTTTATTAACTTTCATTATTTTGCTGAAAATCATTTCTTTTAGCGCACCGTAATCAGTCGAACGTCCATTAGGCCTCAGCCTCGAACTTAGCGGGCAGCGGGGCGGGAGCGGCGGCGGCGCTGGAGCGGGGCGGGCAACGCAGACCCGTTCTCGAAACAAGCGGGCAGCTCGCGCGGCGCTTTAGCGGCGAAGTGTTGTGTTCGGGGTTGTGTTGTCGAGATATTTGTTTTTATTCGCAAACGAAATGTCTGAACAACGGCAACAATCTTATTTCGATTCAAATTTATTCCTAACGCTCGATTTATTGTGGGCAAAAGAAGGAGTTCGCTGCCCGCTCGTTGCCCGCTCCCTCGCCGCTGCCCGCTCGTTGCCCGCTGCCGCCCCGCTGCCGCGCCGCTGTTTTCGAGAACCGGTCTATTTGATTTTACGCATAAGATCCTGCCGCTCCCGCGCCGCCGCCGCCGCCGCCCCGCTGCCCGCTAAGTTCGAGGCTGAGGCCTTACTGTGTGTGCACAGCGCGCGCGTGTGCGCTGTGTTGCTCTGTAATAGAGCGATGACGTGATTTCCTGCTTTGAGTTATTGCTACTGTACCGACGCTAAACGCTTTGCACGGGGTGACTTTGTCCGGGGGTGCTTTTTTGTTTACAATGGAGAAGCTTTTGGATTGATGGAAAGTGATGAGCAGGGCAAAGTTTTGAGTTTAGCAGTGGCTGGAAAAGCTATAGGTGTGATGGAAAGTGATGATCTAGGTTTAAGTTGAGCAGCGGTTAAAGTTAAAAAGTCATAAATATGATAAATGTTGTAAATAGGATAGATAGAGCGTCATGCACAAATGACACAAAACCAGCATACGATAAATCGGATGTCGTCGACGTGACATCGTGTCGAAAATTTCGTAGAAAAACGGTTTGTAAGAAGTTTAAGATCCGTAATAGTACCTACACATGTTTAGTAGGGTTAAGATGGGTTAGTGTTTACTTTTTAAGCCCTCGGTGAAAAATGAGGAGAGGTTATAATAATTGATGTCTGTGTAACTATGAATATGATTGAGGCAACATAACTTCCAAAAATTAAGCATGTAAAAAGCTTAATGAAAAAATAACACATTCGTGATTAATTTTCCTATCAAGTAAATAATACCTAACAAAATCGGTCTATTTATTTGGAGCTTCTAAAACATAGATAATACTAAAGATAAGTTATACTTAAAACATCCTTCGGGTCCTTTATCACGTTAAAAAAGGGCATTCGTAACATTAGGTACCTTAGTCACAGATTAATGATCGATTCACATGACGTTGCATGTTTTGACTATCATAAAAATTCTCAGAATTAGCGAGTATAAGCTGATGTGCTAAAAAGTAATTGAACAATTTATCGTTTTCTAATTGATAAGACACTGCCATAAAAATTATCAGCTTTGAATTTGTATTGATATGCGTTATGTATGCGATTTACACCAAATAGGACAAATAGGTATAGGTATGGTGGGCACCGTTATCGTATAATCACGTGTAAATTATAAAGAATAAATTATTAAATGACTTTTTTATCGCGGATTGTCCGAGATAATGGTATTCAATCGGTGATATTGTTGTAAATTGGCGATGTATTTTGGACGTATTGCTTCTTGTAACTGAGGTAAGAAATATAAATAATTAAATTACCTAAAACTATGATGGAGGTTTTGTAATACAAATTAATACAAAATTTAGAGTTAATTTAAGTTTAATATAAAGCTTCAATAATGTCCTAAAAAGAATAACGACGATTTGAATCAATCAAGCCAATCTTTTATTATTTTCTACTTTGAATTTAGCTGTATTGAATATTGCTTCGCACGGTTGCAATGGAATTTCCCGGCTTTTCTCTTCTATATTAAGCACGTTTTATACCTATATACCTTCCTCTTGAGTCAAAATCCGTTGTGTAGTTCTAAAGATCTAAGCATACATGGGAACAGACAGCGGAAAGAGACTTTATTTTATACTGTGTCATAAGTATTATCACAATAGCTAATTTTTTTATTAAAAATAAATTAGTATTTCTGTAATGTGACAACTACCGCGCCCTTGATGTGTCATGTTGTTTTTATCTTTTTCGACCACTTGGAACTGTTAAACTTTATGGTTTAATTGATTACTTCTGGGTTCGTCCCCGATAAGATAAAGCACTTTTGGTTTGTCGATTACAATGTTTAGTTACCTTATTTCATCATACTTAATTGGTTCATATTATCAGGTTGGCGATTTAGATTCTTGGCTCTACAAAGTCTCTTTACATTGATAATTGTATACGTCCATTACTTTTATAGGTTCTTATACAAAAACTGAAGGATGAGTACAGTTATTAGAACAATAACGAGCTGAATCTAGATTATAGAGAACATGGCTATAGAAGTTACGAAAAACAAAGAGAGAACTGAAATAAATGTTTCAGGTCAGCATGCTTAAACATCTAATATCGTTATCAAATAAACTGAGAGAAAATATCTCGTCCCGCCGCGACAAAGTCACGCCGTCCGTCCCAGCGAGGGGGTGGAGAAGGCAACAACTCATAAAATTAAGCGATTTGGATGTGAGTTAGTCTAACTGTGAGGATCGCCGCGTTAACAGCCCGCTAGCCGTCTTCCTCGCACACTAATGCTGTCGCGTACTCGCACCCACACTCGCTAGGCCGCCCGACACAACGTCACATCGTTTGCTTCCATTATTCGCGCCACAATACGTTGACACTTCTACGGAGTGGCTTTAATTGACTCGATTGTTCTAAATTCAAATTTTCAAATACGACTTCGATATTCAAACTGTGTTTTTTTTTCGGTTGAGTGGTTCAGTGATGTTTATGAAATCTGACCAACGGATATTGGACTAGTTTTGGTGAGTTTTAATGGTAATTAATCTGGATGTTGTTAATTAGTAATTAAGATGGGCGGTTTTATGTGATTACATAAAGAACGCATTCGTGGGTAACGTTGATTTGATTATTATCTATCAGCGCTCGGGAGCTTTTGATTGATTGTGTAATTCGGATTGGAAATGAGAGCGCTTTGAAACTTTTTGCTGAAAAGTTTATCAGTTTTAAAAACTAGACCGATTAATCAAAATAATGCATTTTAGTTTTAATAATTAAAAACAGTGATTTGTAGTTTTTTTTAAAAACATGAATTTGTACATCAAAATATTTTGGTAGAGCTTTTTACCGACACGGAAAATTTTGTGTTTTATGTAGGCAGTGATCTCTGGAACCACTTAAGTTATTTGAAAAAGATTTACACCATTCGAAAGATTCGTTATTCCAGATGGATAAAGGATAATATCTAAATAGAAATGATCATAGGCGGGACTTAGTTTCTATTATGTATCGTGATTATTTTGTTTGTTTTGAGGAAATTGCAGTTCATCGGGAGTGTTTTACTATTGTTTTCTTTTGTTTTTCATGTTTTTTCGCCTTTCCCCAAGTTATTTATAAAGTTTACGTGATAGTTTGAAGCATTTCGATGATTAATTAACGATATCCTTTATCACACTTAATAGTGCGTAAGTTGGAGTGATAGAGATCTTAATAATGGCCATTTGTTATCAAATTGTTATCTAATCGCTATCAAAGTATAAGTAATTGGTGCGATGTTGCAAATTGATACATTATAGTAATTGTTTGTAGGCAGGAAAATTCTGCGTCATAATATGACTTGACTGAAAAGTATAATTACAATTACTTACCTATTTATCTTAATGTTACGTATATTTGATATTTCTGATATATTAATATTCTTTAAAGCATTGAATATTATGCGATTTCGGAGATCATTTCAAGCAGTCATTTATTCAAATGAAAACATAACTTTTGTTTCATTACATCAACAAAACATATCAATATTTGGCTATTCTGCGACAACTCTTAAGCTTTGATAAAGTTATTTTCTTTTTGACTCTATTCACTGATAAGTTTTCAAGCAAGCAGTATGTACCTGCTAGTTCTTTTGACTAAATAAACAAAAAACAGGTGAGCGTCGTCATTTAAAAACATTAATAATTTCAATACGTCTCTACATAGTAAGATCAGTTACCGACATCTAAGGTTTGACTGCAGATTCTTTGATTTTTTTTATTTAATCTCAAATATTGATTCAAAAATAAAAATTATAATTATTTGAACTTTCTGTGTTTTAACACAAACTTACGAATAAGAAGAAGATATAAAGAAAGTCAGGAAAACAATTGCACAACATCTCCCAAACAATTAGCCAGTTGTTTTTATTATTATTTATCAAGATTATTGATAAATAAACAACAAGAACGTGCCTAATCGAGCAGCTTGTTATCGGAACTATCAATTATATCGCAAATTATCCAATTACGGGTTACACAACGTGTAAAGAAATGCACGCAGAGGGTTAAACTCAACCCCAACAGTGAAAGGGTTGGATAGGGTTGAGACTTCAAACATGACATCGGAAAAGTAAGGTTGCCAGTTGAAAATAAGAGGTAAACTTTTTGTATAAAATGAGCTTTTAAAGTGAACTTTAGCATGCAAAATCTGAATCAGAAATTCAGTTGAAGATTAATGTGATGATTTTCCGGAAAAATCAAAGAACCCGCTGGAAAATTTTCCCTAGGTATATTATGATTATGTAGTAAGAAGACCTCACGACCTTCTGTAACATTGGATACGCGATAATTGATATCGGTTAGTTAACGTTTAGTAATTAATAGTCCATACACGCGTGGAAGACGTAGCGTGGGCAGGCCTCCTACTAGGTGGACCGACGATCTCGTAAAGGTCGCGGGAAGAGCCTGGATGCGGGCAGCGCAGGACCGTGCATTGTGGAAAGCCTTGGAGGAGGCCTTTGTCCAGCAGTGGACGTCATTTGGCTGAAACGAACGAACGAACGAACACGCGTGGGTGGATGTGCTCAGTGATTTGATTAAACTTAAGCTTATTATACCTAGTTCATAGCTTCAATGGATTTCATGGTCTACTGGTTAGAGAATAGGGTCTTAGTTCTATTAGCTAGATTATAAAAGATTAGGTAGGTATCATTAATTACAGGGTAGTTCTGAAGCCTAGGTCCTTAATAAATATTCCTTACTTTAGAGGGGTAATTTAACTGAAATTTACAATATTATAACCAGTATTGTAAACCTATCTAAATATATATAACTCAAAAGTGACTGACTGACTGACTGACATAATGATCTATCACGCACAGCCCAAACCACTGTACGGATCGGAATAAAATTTGGCATGCATGTAGATGTTATGACGTAGGCATCCGCTAAGAAAAGATTTTACGAAACTCCACCCCTAAGGGGTAAAACGGGATCAACCCGCACGAAGTCGCAGGCGGCCCTAGCGGCCGCTTTTCAATAAAATCTGTCCCGTATTTTTGTAGTATGGAGTAACAAACTATCCAGCCTCAAACACTTTTTATCTACAACGAGGAAGTTCTTGACCTGCATCTCACCTGATGGAAAGTGATGATCAGTCCGAAGATGGAAGCGATTTGCACTTTTTATAAGCTTTTAAAAAGAGCTTTCATAGTTTCCATATACAGGGTGTTAGGTAAATGTCTATATGAGCCGACACTAGCCCATGTTAACATGGTCATATAAATGGTATGGTGAAGTCAGAAAATTGATATCTTCATTTTAATTATTTTAAATTTCATACAAATCGGATTTTATAAAATTTATTTTGTATGAAAATTAAAAAAAAAATATATAGATATCAAATTTCTGACTTCACCATATCATTTATATGCCCACGTTAACATGGGCTAGTGTCGGCTCATATATCCATTTACCAAACACCCTGTATCCTTATTCACAAGCGATACTTGCTTAAGTGAAGCAGCAAATCGAACGCACAGCGTTGAATAGAGCTCTGTGATTGGTTCGTGTGTCACCCTGTGCGTCCACACGCACTGTGAGACCTCATAGTAATGTTTGTGAATAGGGGCGTAAGAGATTTTTCACCTACAAGGAAATCGCTTAAATAATTCTTTAGCGACTAAAATAATTATCAAAAAAATTATATAACTACGATAGAGCGTGGTAATTTCCCGGTTTTTCTGCACAAAAATTAAGTTTCTGTTATCTAGGTTGAAAAATAATTATATTTGACTGATCGATTTTTAATTAGTTATTAAGCCCCGTGAATTCGTCAATGCCATTGTTATACAGATTGTGGATTTTGATTGAATGAATAGGTAATAATATGTAAATATTAGCGACGGTTGACTGATGGTCTGGTGGCTCATAGTACAACGGGTTCGAAACCCGCTGGGTGCAATTTTTAGTATGCTTTTATTTTTGTCTTATTTGCATAGATAGTTCAGCATAAAGCTCAATACTGAACCATTTTTTGAATGATTGACTTCCCATGTTTCAACCAATCACAGCATATTTCTACATTAAGTCTAAGTAACAACATCTTACTTTAACCGTAACTATAACAATAACCACTAGTGTTTTCTAGTCATAGTAATATGGTGCAATTTAGTTAAACATAGCCTTAGTAAATTCACAGGTTTGAATATAATGTAAAATTCATACTTGAGTTTCATAATACAGAATAATACTTTTCACAAAAACATCAGATAAACACCATGGGTATTAATATAGTTGTAATGGGTGTTA